TGGGCTACCTGCACCTGACTTCCTACAAATAAGTACTACTCACCTCTCTCCCTACATTAAGATTACAAATACTTTAAGATAAGTAATGAATTTACTGTGAATGTATTTTACTTTGTGTGTTTTTAATGCCTAGTTCTATTACTAACTTAATATAATTTAATGTAAACTTGTTGTCTGGCATTTATATGCATTTATAAATGGAAAAAAATGGCGTTCTGCCTTCCGGCGATGTCTGCTTTCCGGCGACAGCCTGGAACCTAACCTGCCGTATAAGTGGGGCCCTACTGTATGTAAAAAAAGTAGGTCTTTATTTTTTTACATTTGAAAACGTGTAAAAAACTTTAATCTACTTTTTTTTTTGTTAGTATTTGAAAATATGTAAAAAAAATGTAGATCTACTTTTGGAGCACTACGCATGTGAACGTAGATCTGCTTGGACCATTTACGGGTTAAATGATAAAAACGTAATTTTTTTAGAAAGAAAAATACATGAATAATTGTGGTAAATTTGTAATTTTTAATGAAAAAAAGTATGTTTCACAGGAATAAAAAACTTATTGCTTGGTATAAAGGAGGCAAAGTTATTCCAATATGAAAAAAACTAAACTAAGAGTTACTTAAAAATTTTGGGACAATAATGAGTATGCAACAAATCTAGGAAATTCTGCTAGGGAGTATATTACTAATAGCAAGTATTGTGTGAGTTTAAATATTGGGAAAAAAAATAGGTTAATTGGTTTGTTTACCTGCAGCATTAAAGTTAGATACAAAGGGATATTATGCACAGCAACAAAGAAAAGACAGTTGTAAAGCAAACTTTTATTGTGATATTTTCCTCCATGTAGAGCTTTATTAAATTATTGGCTTGCTAAAGCTCTACACAGAGCAAAACATTGTCATGGTAAATTATTATTAATATTATTATTATTATCACCATCATCATCAGTAGGATTATACAGTGCCTGTGGGAGAGGGGGATGTGGAAGGTAATCAGAATCAAGGAGCTGTCATGGTAAATACAGTAGAGCCCCCACATCCACTGATTTGGTATCTGCAGTTTCAGTTTTCCATGGTTTACTGTGGCCCAAAAATACCTCTTAATTTTGCATAATAATGGACCAAAGCACAAAAGTAGAGAAGCTAGCAGTTCTTCAGAGCCTAAGAGAAGCCATAAAGTGCTTCCCATCAGTGAAACAGTGATAATTTTTCCACTTATTGTGCATAATTTATCAATTAAAATTTATAATAGGTATGTACAGGACTTACATATAGGGTCTGCTACTATCAGCAGTTTCGGTATCTATGGCAAGTCCTTGGAATGTATCCCCACAGATACAGGGGTCTTACTGTACTTCTCTGCACTAGTAGTAATAAGTTATCACAAGTTATATACACTGATGGATCTAAACAGGAGTCTTCTGGCAGGGCTGCATCTGCTCTTGTTGCCACCTCCCTAGTTAAGAACGATAATAAATTTGTTGAGTTAGGCATAAGAATTAACAACTGGGCGTCTACACTGCAAACTGAATTGTTTGCAATCCTAATGGTGCTAAAGCTAACCTATGACACTGAGCTTGACTCTATCATCATTACTGATTCTATGTCATCATTGAAGGCTCTTGGCTCATATAATGACTCCAACAACATGCTCATTGGGGAAGCCAGGTATAGATACTCAAAAATTAGGGACAAAGGAATTAATATACAATTGCTATGGATCCCATCACACATTGGATTATCCTCATGATAAAGTTGATATGTTAGCCAAGAAGAGTATCCCAGAAGGAGAACGTAGAATTAACTTTGGTATAACTGTGTCTAGCATTAGGAATAATATTAGGAGAGAAGTAAATAATGAAGATGATTGTTATAGGAATGCAGTTAGAAACCTGAGTAGATCTATAACCCACTATGATAACATGAACGTAGATAAGTATGTTTATGGAGCAACTTGCAATGTGAACAGACTGACTGATGTTGTAGTGGCCAGGCTTAGGCTTGGTTACAAGTACTTCTGGCAGTTTGGGAGACACACAGATGATGATCAAACTAAATGTAAATTATGTGTCAGGCATATGGTCACTCTCTTGAACACTATGTGCTTAATTGTCCACTTATTGAGGAATACAGAGACAGACAGTATAATAACCTATGTGACATGTCATTATTATTATGGTGGTTAACGCTCTCGCTTCACACGGTGAGGGCCTGGGTTCGATTCCCAGCCAGAGTAGAAACATTGGACGTGTTTCTTTCCACCTGTTGTTTTATTTTCCCCTATCAGTAAAATGGGTCCCTGGGTGTTAGTCGTGGTGTGGGGTCGCATCCTGGGACACTGACCTAAGGGGGCCCTGGTCACAGACCGGGCCACGGGGGTGTTGACCCCCGGAACTCTCTCCAGATAAACTCTCCAGATAAACCAGATATACTAAGCATATTTCCTAAATTTGCTTGTAACAGATAAGTGAACTATAGATATTTTTATTATCACACTGGCCGATTCCCACCAAGGCAGGGTGGTCCCGAAAAAGAAAAACTTTCACCATCTTCACTCCATCACTGTCTTCCCAGAAGGGTGCTTTACGCTACAGTTTTTAAACTGCAACATTAACACCCCTCCTTCAGAGTGCAGGCACTGTACTTCCCATCTCCAGGACTCAAGTCCGGCCTGCCGGTTTCCTGAATCCTTCATAAATGTTACTTTGCTCACACTCCAACAGCACGTCAAGTATTAAAAACCATTTGTCTCCATTCACTCCTACAAACACGCTCCACGCATGCCCGTGAAGTCCAAGCCCCTCGCACAAAAAAACCTCCTTTACCCCCTCCCTCCCAAACCCTTCCCAGGCCGACCCCTACCCCGCCTTCCCTTTCCCCTACAGACTGATACACTCTTGAAGTCATTTGTTTCGCTCCATTTTTCTCTACATGTCCGAACCACCTCAAAAAACCCTTCCTCAAGCCCTCTGGACAACAGTTTTGGTAATCCCGCACCCCCTCCTAACTCCCAAACTACGAATTCTCTGCATTATATTCACACCACACATTGCCCTCAGACATGACATCTCACTGCCTCCAGCCTTCTCCTCGCTGCAAACATTCATCACCCACGCTTCCCCCCAAAGTTCTTTGTCTCCACAGAACTCCTAAAATGCACCACTCACTCTTTTTCCCCTCATCAATTCTATGATTCACCTCATCTTTCATAGAAACCCATCGTTTACACGTCACTCCCAATATCTGAATAGTTCACCTCCTCCAACTCCTCCTCCAATTGATATTTAATCTTAAACACCCAATCTTTTTGTTATCTCATAACCTTACTCTTTCCTGTATTCACCTTAATTTTCTTTTTTTACACACCCCACCAATTCATCCACCAATCTCTGCAACTTCTCTTCAGAATCTCCAGAGCACGTGTCATCAGCAAAGAGCAGCTGTGACAACTCCCATTTTGTGTGTGATTCTTTATCTTTAACTCCACGCCCCTTGCCAAGACCCTCGCATTTTCTTCTCTTACAACCCCACTATAAATATATTAAACAACCACGGTGACATCACACATCCTTGTCTAAGGCCTACCTTTACTGGGAAAAATTTCCCTCTTTCCTACATACTCTAACTTGAGCCCCACTATCCTCGTAAAATCTCAGCTTTCGTAACCTACCTCCTACACATCCTTGCAAATTGCCACTTGCCCCCCCCCCTTAATTTTCTATAGGGACCAACCGCATTCATTAATAAGCACTCAACATTTGGAAGCATTGTGTCCCCATATGAACATATCCCACCTCACTCTTTTCCTCTGAAAATTCATAATGGAAATGTTCAATCACTTACATTAGGGTCTGCTTATATTCACAGTTCGACTATGTGCAATCCTAGGAATGTATCCCACTGATCGGGGTCGTACTGTCTTCTCGGGCACATTTCATAATAGTTATCACAAGTTATTACCCCTGATGATCTAAACAGGAGTCTTCTGAGGGCTGCATCTGTCTTGTTCACCTCTCTATTATAGAACGATAATAAATTTGTTGAGTTAGGATATGAATTAAAAACTGGCTCTACTCTGCAACCGAATTGTTTGCAATCTTGGTGCTAAAGCTAACCTCAAAACCCTTTGACTTGCTGTATTCACCTTACTGATTCTTTCTTTTGAACTCTTGCCTATAATGACCCCAAACCATCTCTTGCAACCATATAGATACCCCAAAAACAGTGTACAAAGGAACTTAATATTTTTGCTGTGGTTTCCATCCACGTTGGGATTATTTCCTTCAAATTAATAATATTTTAAAGACAAGGGACTATCCTTGAAGAAAGCCCCGTTATGGGAAATAACTTTGTATATAATTTGAGCTCACATTAGGTAAAATATTTCATGAGTAGAACCTTAAATAATGAACATGACTTTTATAGTCAATGCCTTTAAAGCCATATAATCACAAAACCCTTACCTATATAAATACTGTTAATTATATGTTTATGTAAACACTGGGCAAATACTTACCCAGACTGACTGTGTTGTATTGGCCAGCTTAGGCTTGGTTATCAATTAAACTTCATACACTTAGGGACACAACAGACTTATCCCACTAAATTTTAACTTTTATCCTTTGCCATAAAATGGTTCATCTCTTGAACACTATGTGCTTAATTTCCACTTATTGAAATAATTGACAACCACTAAAATATATCCCATGTGCATGTCTTTAAATTTTATCTTTAACCTCCCCCGCTGCACCTTACCGCCTGTTCATTCCCTATGCCCAGATAGACCACATTGGCTTTCTCCTCCTGTTGTGTTATTTCCCCATCAGAAATCACAGCTTATCACTGATTTCATCACATTCTAACATTTCCCTAAAATATGCCTATCACCAATACCTCTACTCCCATTAAACTCTCTCCTAATATAACTGCAAAAACCAGTTTCTAAGCTATTTCCTAAATTTGTTAACCACTCATAATTTAAAATATGTAGATATAAATCCATATGTATTCCTGTTAACCCTTTGGGGCCTAGTTCCTAGGCCTTTTGTGTATCCACATGCTCTCGCGCTACCGTCCACAGGATGGATATGGGGTGCACAATAAACTAGCCACTTCGGTGGCAAAATCTAAAATCTAATCTCTGCACTGCATTTTTTATTTAATTGGAAAGTTTTTACTTAGCCTAGTGATCTCATGAAGAAAAGTTTACATTAATTCTCATTTGTGAAAAATCTTTCTTTGCTACATAAGTAATTTTAAGTACAGTAACTTTGCCACCAATCTGAAGTTGTGACTCTGTTTTTAATACCTTCAAAAGCATTAATGACTTCTACAGCAATGCATATTAATGTTGTTTTGTGATCAAATCAAATGATTGTGTCTAATTTATTTTTATATTCTCTGCTATCCATTTTGACACAGCCTTAATTACTTGCACATTTAAGCTTATATAAATAAAATTATTGAATAATATTATGCTTAAAAATATTTTGCACAGCCTGAGTAACTAAACAGCGAACATATATATATATACAGTACTGTATGTGTATGTCAAATCATTTATCAAATTTGAAAATAAGAACATCTATTTTCCCATTATTATTTTTAAGCAATGCCAAATGTAAACTATCAGAATACTGTAAACAGTTTCCCTTCAGTGTCAAGTCCAGTGTCTCTGCACGAAGAAAACTCGAGCAACAGTGCCTGGAACAAAAAAGAAAACTAAGAGTAATAAATAGTTTTGCTGCAGTATGTAATGAGGAGCCTGTCTCAAAGGTAACCACAGTGAATTACTTGGGAGTATTCTTGATTCCTGCTTGTAGGGTGAAAGGATTTGTAATAACACAATGCAAAATGTCAACGTTGGGTACAAAACCATTTACAGGCAGACAATGTTTATCATCTAAGGCTTAGATGGCAAACATAGATTTGCTCATCATGTCATACTGCTCTTACACAAAATCTGAAAATTGGACTGCAAGCTATCAAAGTTTATTTATGCACAGGTACACATAAGTAAAATTATCATACATAGTGTAAGTTATCGAAGATAGTCCCAAAAAAGTCAAATGACTAAAAAATTAGGCAAGACTTACATATTATCATAAACATTGATACAAGAGAACATTTCGGTCAGCAAGCATTGAAAAAACTTGAAATTCCGAAAAAAGCCGATAGAATGATACAGTCGAAACTAAACTAAATCGTAAGTACATAACTGCTAACAACTTGTGTCATGAGTACTATGTGGCCTGAAATTTTGAAGGGATTAGGAAGCAAAATCATTGCTGCATCAATCAAAGTGAAAAAACTGCAATACCCATTGTATAAATTTATACATCAAATACATTCTTCAATAAATGACAGAAATAATTTATCTAATAACAATAAGGCCAGTAATAGCATAAATCAAGACCAACAATATAATCATTTATTTTCTGCGATGCATACCAGACAAACAGCGTAATAAAGATGAGACAGCTATATATATCACTTAAACGGAAAAGGGCAAAATTATGAATTAAAGAGCACTTAATTAAGTCAGGTATGAAGGAAAATAACATTACAATTATTACATACGGGAGGAGTGCTATACCCATCTGAGAGAGGCAGCAAGCATGATTGATCCAGGAGGAAAGGGTGGCTCTAATTCCTTGGATCAAGGCCCTCCTAGTAGGCTCTTATATATTTAATTACATAAAGTAACGCAAGCTACAGTGTTCCTCCTGAAGTAAACCTTCACAAATATACAATTTGCACTAAAATTTTTATATAATATTCTTTTTGATTGACTTTTGTTTATTAGATTGTGTATATATATACATATACATTGGTCTATAAACGTGATTCTGGAATTTTTGTAATGCCTCTGACCTGTTGTTTTTGTTTGTTTGTTGGGTTTATAAGGGCCACTAGCGGCTTATGTAATATCCAGCCTGACTTCCCGATTTAAGTAAAGTAAATTAAGTAAGTAGGTAAGTAAGTAAAGTAAGTAAGATTTGTTACCCAAAGCTTGGCGATTAAAGAAAAAGGAACAGGAGTCCTTCTTGTAAATAGAAAACCCACTTAATCATCCTAGACATTTAAGAAATACAATAATGAGATACATATATGAGATACAATTTATGAGATACAATTATTCAGTATTTATTTAGTTGTGGGTGAGTAAGTTATTTTTGAGAAGAGACTTGAATTTATAAACAGACAGTGTTTCTTTTATATTCACAGGTAATGAATTCCAGATTTTAGGGCTTTTATGTGCATTGAGTTTTTGCACAGTGTGAGATGGACACGAGGAACATCAAAGAGTGATCTGTGTCTTGTGTTATGGTCGTGTGTTCTGTTGAGGTTGGTAAGGAGATGTTTGAGGGGAGGGTTAATATCAGTGTTAAGTGTTCTATGTATGTAGTAGGTGCAGTAATAAGTATGGATGTTTTGTATGGTGAGTAGGTTTAGAGTTTCGAATATTGGTGGAGTGTGCTGTCTGTAGTGGGAATTTGTTATCATTCTGACTGCAGCCTTTTGTTGGGTGATTAGTGGTCTGAGATGGTTTATTGTTGCTGAGCCCCATGCACAAATCCCGTAGGTGAGATAGGGGTAAATAAATGAGTGATATAGGGCCAGGAGGGCTGACTGTGGAACATAGTACCGTATCTTCGATGGTATGCCTACGGTCTTGGAAATTTTTGGGAAATTTGTTGTATATGTGTTTGAAATTTGAGTCTATTTTCAAGGTGGATTCCTAGGATTTTTTCCTCTGTGAGTTTTGTGATAGGTGATCCCTTTATCATTATGTTAAGAGGCACATCTGCAGATCTGTTACCAAACTGAATGAAGTAGGTTTTGTCAATGTTTAGAGTAAGTTTGTTGGTCCTCATCCAGGTTGATATTTTCTGTAATTCGGTATTTACAGTATTGGCTAGCATGACTGGGCTCGGGTGAGAGTAGACGTATGTCATCTGCAAATAGTGTGGGTTTGAGTAGTTGCGATGCATTTGGTAGGTCATTTATGTATATGAGAAAGAGAAGAGGGCCTAGAACACTTCCCTGTGAGACACCAACTGTAATTGGCTGTGCGGAAGAGTTTGCCCCATTTGTGTACACATATTGGCTTCTGTTGCTGAGGTAAGACTTAAGGTAGTTGAAGGAGTGCCCTCTTATACCACAGTGCGACAATTTTATGTGGAGCAAGTCGTGGTCAACCGTATCGAAAGCTTTACGTAAGTCAATGAAGATCCCCAGTGGGACTTCTTTTTTCTATATTGCTGTATAAATATGTTCTAGCATGTGGATAATAGCATCATTAGTATTTTTATTAGGCCTGAACTCAAATTGACAGGGGTTGAGTATGTTGTGGGAGATGAGGTAGGAATAGATACGCTTATGGATTAATTGTTCAAAGATTTTAGAGAGAGGGTGTAAGTTGGATATTGGCCTATAGTTATTCAAGCCTGTGTGGGCTCCTCCTTTATGGATCGGGATGACCCTTGCTATTTGAGAACTGTAGGAAAGGTAGAGGATTCAATGGATTTGTTAAAGAGTGTTGCAATGATTGGTGATAGCACCTGTGACACTTTTTTGTATATAATGGGTGGTAAGGTATTTAAATCTCCTGTCTTGTTTTTTAGTTTGTTGCTTACTCACCTATGTACTCCCACATTATAACTTCAACAATCACTTTCAACCTTTTAACCATTGTTGACAGGAATATAATTGAACTATTGTTTTCCACAAAAAGCATTTTAGACTATAAGAATATATCCTTTTTCTTATTCAAATTTAATTCACTTATAATTAATAATCTACTGTTCAACTATGAAATAATTACTGTCCTACTGTACAACTATGATAAAATCCTTAGTGTTAAGTAGTCAGTAAGCCAATAATGTTAAGTTGGCCCATAATGCCTAGGCATAATATATGCTGTCTTTGCATTGCAACCCACCATCGTAAATATAAAATCTCATTGTACTGTTTGCAAAGACATAAAATAAATAAAATAAATAAATAAACAGGAATTAAAAATTCCTCATTAGATCAGATGAACCCCCTTGCCAAGACCCTGATAATTGCGACGCCAACACCTCACCTGAGTTTAGTAACCGGCTTTCCACCAAAACCGTTAAAGAATTATTCTCATAGCGGCTAAAAGTTAGCCGATGATAGGTACCCCCTCATGCAATGTGCCCGGCGGGCAAAATAGGTGAGGAGATGTGTCCCAGAGAAAGCGGAGGAAATTTGCCACTGATATTTAGGCGAGAGAGAGAGAGACGGACGTCCACACCAGATGAAAGCTGGCCAGGAGTCACTTTGACCTGATGTTGTTGGATATAAAGGCGACGATCCTGAGCCGTGTGTCCCCACCACCATCTACCTCACCACTGCTGAGTTAGTTTAGTTTAATATGTTTATTATGCACCCCATATCCATCCCGTGGGCGGTAGTCAAAAGATTACAAAAGCACATAATGGGTCCAGGGACTGGACTCCAAAGTTATGATAGCTGAACTAGTTACAACAGTAATTGTGAAAATTTGTGTGGACTGCCTCCAAGTGAGTCACCTACCCTGGCAAACTCTGTTGACACCGAGCTCTGAGGTGGGTACCTCAGCCTCACAAGTGACTTTATAGGACAGATTTTCACAAATGATTGATGTTGCAAGAAAACTCGCCCGCAGGCACGTATAAAGGACTAACTTACTTGGTGTTGCAGCATATATCCTGATCTTCAACTTCCCTAAGCTTAGCCTTAGCCCCTTTGGACTTTCCCTCAGAAACCACGTGCAACCGGGAGCCTTAATTCCTGCAATATTCAATCGTTATTAGTGTCCTGCCTGCACCTCAGAAATTCCTATATCCAAGAGGGTATGTATCCCCTAGTATAACTATGCAGCCACGGACACTAGCTTCCAGACTGCCTTGAGACACTGGTACTTACTGGGCATGCACTGCCTGTTGCACACCGGCCCACAGATCAAACTCACTCACAATCTCCCCAGCCACTGGCCAGAAATCTACGAGATAAAGTGGAGGTTTTGTCTTACTGTATGGGCCTGACAGAGGAGGTCATCTACGGTACATCGAGGTGCCTCTACCAGATTTCCCCAGGTCTCAAATGTGAAGACACGTGGGGGGCGCCGTCTGCTGATCACGGCATGTCTTGTCCAGTTGGTGTCTGTCTTAAGAAGGGAGAGCTCATGTCTTCCAGACCCGCACCTCATCCTTCAAGCTAGGGCTGCCAGTTCTCCCTAGCTAACTTAACCTAGTGTTTGCCTACATTATCGGCCTATTACTACCTATGTTAAGGTCTTAGGTCTACATTATTATTATCTACAGTTGCCTTAGTAAACCTAATATTAGTGTACTACCAGTAAAACTACCTACTCCTTCCCTGAAGAGTAAATCTATAAATTAAATAAGCTTACCAACAATCCCTGCCAACTCGAGAGAATGCTTTTATGTTTGGGTGGGGTATAAGGGCCATCCAGCTCAGTCGTTCCATCATGGCCATGCCGGATCTGTCCTGTGGAACTTTAGGGACCAAATAAATTTCCACATCCTCCCGCTGGTGAAGGTAGGCGCTAAGTCTAGATCAAGTCTGCCTCCCGCAGGCCTTCCCAGTGGGCCCTGGACTTGAGCGCCGGTCGACGGGTCGTCCGGCCGCTCAGCTCGGTCAGCCTCTGGTCTAATTTCTCATGTCCCAGTCCCACCGTGTGGACCTCAAGAGGTAAAAGCCTGTTGATGGGTCTTATAGTCTCGACACCATTCATTCTCACCTTCACCATTCTCATCCGCCCAGCCTTGTCTGGGTGGGTCAACACTACCAGGCCAAGAGGCCAGTATGCCCTGGGTGCCAGTACTTCCAGCACTCCTTTAAACCTCTACCTTTGGTACTGCCTTATCCAATATTCTCTGGGACCCACGAGAGATAATTGTCGACCTTGGCATACCTCGTCATGCAGCTTCCTCACAAATCAAAATACCATTTCCGTGACTCCTATAAGTTTCCTCCAAGAGGAGTAGCGCCTGGGGTCAAATAGTTCAGTGTCGGGTTCCCCCGCAAAGTGTACTATGCTGCTGGTTGTCTCCCCGAATTTCTGCTCCGGCCAGCAATCCCTTCCCGGTAACCAGTCTGGGCCTTTGAACTAAATCTCGCTTTTACTCAGCTTTTTGTGTGTCACCCCTCGGCTTATCAGGTCGGCTGGGTTTTGATCTGTAGGCATGTAGAGAATTGTTGACGTTGACTGTAGTTCCCGTATCTCCTTTACCCGATTCCTGACACAGGGGAGCTTAGACCTGTCATTCTGGACCCACTGTAAGGCCACCTCCGAGTCTGTCCATACATAGGTGTGTGTCACCCTCAGATTACTCAACACCTCCTCTACGTACTTCCCCAGTCTTGCTCCCAGCAACATCGCCGTGAGCTCTAGCTTTGGGATAGAGCAATCTTTCAGGGGTGTCACCCGCGCACGACTGGTGACCAGATTGACTTGGTCCCCGGCCACCAAATACGCTACTGCCCCATAGGCCTGGGAGGAGGCATCACAGAAGACGTGCAAGTCATAATCCCGCCCAGTGCACCCGATGGACCTGGGGAATGTGAACTCATGCAATTTTGCTAGATCTTTGCTAACCAGATCCCACTCCTGGCAGACTCTTTCTGGCAGTGGGTCGTCCCAACCTAGGTTCAGCTTCCAGGTCTGTTGCACTAGCATCCTCCCTCGAATGGTGATGGGTGTCAACAAACCCAAAGGATTGAAGGCAGTCTGCACTTTGCTCAGCAAAGACCTCCTGGTCAGCTTCCCTTTCCCATCAGGTTTTCTCTTTAGCCTAAGTCTGTCTTCCTTGATTTCCCACTCCAATCCCAACACCGATGTTACCTCAGGTACTGAGTAGCCAGCATAGTCACGTTCCACCGTGCCCCGCAACGTTGGATTGTTTGTCACCCATTCTCTTAGTGGCATGTTAGCCGAGAGCATCTCCTGATTAGACTCTCGATAAATGTCCATCAACAGCCTTTCATCTGAGGTGGTACCTTGCATGTTGTCTACATAAAATAGGGTCTTCAGTAATTCTTTAAGTGGGCTGTTACAGTTCACAAGGTGGTAGTCTATGGTGGCCTGTAATAAGAATGGTGAACTAGTGGCACCAAACAACACTGCCCTGAATCTGTAGGTATCATACCCTTGCTTGGGCACCTCCCTGTTAGCCAACCACAAGAACCTTGTGTAGTCCCTGTCTTGTGGCTGCAACCCAATACGTAGGAAGGCTTTGCTAATGTCTGCCGCATAGGCGTACTGTTCTGTCCTGAATCTAAACAACACATCTGCTAATTTCTGCGTCAGGGAGGGCCCTGTGAGCAGACAATCATTCAACGATAGCTCTCAGGGACTCGCCTGTGAGCTGCAGTTGAAGACTACTCTGATGGGAGTGGTTACTGACTCCTTGGTGACTGCCATGTGTGGAAGATAATGGGTGTTTTCCCCAGGGCTGGCATTGGGCACTTTCTCAATGAACCCAAGGGCCAGCTGTTCCTTAATAATATCATCATATTTCCCCACCAGACCCTTCTTGGTCAGGCTGTTCACCAATGAATTTAACTGACCCCTGGTGGCTCTGGTGGCCTGGTGGTTAACGCTCTCGCTTCACACGGTGAGGGCCTGGGTTCGATTCCCAGCCAGAGTAGAAACATTGGACATGTTTCTTTCCACCTGTTGTCTATGTTCCCCATCAGTAAAATGGGTACCTGGGTGTTAGTCGACTGGTGTGGGTCGCATCCTGGGACACTGACCTAAGGAGGCCTGGTCACAGACCGGGCCGCGGGGGCGTTGACCCCCGGAACTCTCTCCAGGTAAACTCCAGGTAAACCCCGTACCTTCTTGAAATTAGTGGGCAGCGTTGGGTGTCCTGGTTTCCATAGGAGTCGCACCCAGTACTGTCCGTCCCTGAACTGCACATGGTTCAAGTAATCTCGATACATCTCTTCGTGTTCGGAGGGCGGCTGATCACCTTTAATCCCTACTACATCCAGGTCCCATAGTTTATGGACTGGCTCACTGTCGGATATGCCAACTTGCGTCTCTGACAGACCTTCGTGCACACCAATCCGCATCACCAGTACAGCCTCAGTCGCTGTAATACCAGAGCCCTCCTTTCCTGGGGTCGCAGGGAAGTGAGCTGGTACTCTGCCTCCTACGATGTACCTCGCTGGAGTCCTGTACAGGCCAACATCCTCCTTGATAACCCTTCTCGTAGACACGAACTCGTCTATGTAATCCCCTCCTACCAAGATTCCTACATTACTAACGTTGTCGGTAGCAATGTCTGGTTCCACTAGCTTCACACCCAACTCCCTCAAACGTTTGACTGCTGCAGCCAGTCCCTTAGTGGTAATGATATTAGGCAGCCTCTTCACTATCAAGGCTGAAATTTCCCGTCGATGCCCGGCTAGCCTGACCGTCACATTGACCACTGGATAAGACCTGCGTGGGACTTCCCCACCAAACCCTTTCACCTTCATGTCAACTTTACCAACTGTTCCAGCTTCAACCTAGTTGCTAGACTCTCCGCTATGAAGGATCTCTGTGCCCCACTGTCGAAGAACAAACGGGTCGTTTCAGACTTCTTCCCATTCACAACCACCGCCATTATGGTGGGCAAGGCCACCGAACCTTGAAACTGCTCACCAGAACAAATTCTCGGTGCCGTACTCGCCACACTCATCACTACTTCAGACTTGTTCTTGCTCTCCGCCCTTTCTCGCGGTTTGCTCTCCTTAACTTGTGCTAATCTGGCGTCATTAGGACACAGTGCACTGTGGTGCTTATCCTTCCAGCAGCCCCGACACTCCCTGAGTTGGGCGTTACAGTCCCTGGCAAAATGTTCTCCACAACACTTGAAACAAAGTCTCAACTCCCTTAGTCGTTGAACCCTTTGGTTATAGGTGGTGAAGCTTGAACACCCTGAACTAGCATGTTCTTCTTCACAAAACACGCACCGTCTCATACTGGCCGCTTGAGTGACTTCTCCCTTGGCTCTGGTGGTGGAGGACTTGTCCTGAGCATAATATGAGCCAACCCTAGTAGGAGGTGGTTTAGCTTTATCTCTCGAGTATCTGGAGGGGTTGATCGATTCCACCTTGGTCGGCAATTTCTCCCCCCGACCTATGCTCAGGTGAGACACGAGATCTCCCAACCCCTCAATGATCTGTTGTATTGTGAACCAGTTCGTCCGATATTTTAAGTGCAACTCGTTGCACTGTAGTGCCAGCCAGTTTCTCTGAATCACCTGACTGATGAACCATTCCGACTTACCCCAATCATGTAAATCTTTAAGACTATTCGTCAAACTCATAACTTCGATTCGGAACTTCTCTAGGCTCTGACGGTCATGGCGACAAGCCTCTAGATCCAACAACCGATAAAGTATAGCTACCTTTATTTCCTCAGTGTTGCCAAACGTGTCCATTAATTGGTCTTTGGCATGTTGGTAATTGGTGTCGGTGGTTTGGTAATGCCGGACCAAGTCCAAGGCTTTACCCTTGAGCTGTGAACGTAAATATTGTAATTTGACGGCATCTGACAAATCGTCTCTGTCATCTATCTGGGCTTTAAACTGATCCCAGAAAGCAATGTACTCTGTTAAGGTTCCGTCGAACGTTGGTAAATTCAACTGGGGCAATCTGGACAACACATTAACAGGCGTGCTGTTGTTCGTGTTCCTTGAAACATTTGCTCCCCCTGCTGTACCGGCCTTCAAAGTCTTTATTAACTGCCTGCAGAGTCTCATCTCTGCTTTACACTCTGCCCTTCATTCGTCATAGTCCGTCCGTGCTACTTCGACTGTATATTCAGACTCACCTGTAGTATAGGCCTCTGTCTCATAAAGGATAAATGATCTCTTAAAGGCCTCCAGTCTTTGCTCCAAAGGTTTCAGGCAACTCTCTAGTTCCTCCCAGTCTACGTCTTGATCTTGCCTGACTATACGACACTCCTCACATGTTTTGCTCAGGCATCCCTTATAGGCTCCCATAGACCGCTTTAATTGACTTAGCGCTGGGACAGCTGGTACTACATCTTCACCTACCATAGTTGCGGTTTAGTTAAGATCACGGTACTAATTTGTACTTCAATTAGCCCACCCCACAGCACGAACGGTATTAGGTGAGAATGAACGAGTCTCAAGACTTCTCAACAAGCTTAACAATTCCCTTTATTATATTGACTCTACTCTGAATAAAAAATGTACACTGTTAGCTCTCAAATCCCAATCAAAATGTGTATCGGTGTGAAAGCTTAACCTAGCATTTTCCTGTACAATGCCAGCAAATAATTACAGGACTTAACCTAGTCTCAGGTACAATTCACAAATCCCACATTAAAATGAATCAAAGAAAATCACACAATAAAAAGTGCAGTATACAAATTAAAATCACTTGGTTAACACAAATAAATTCAACAAATCAACTTGTGAAACAGTAAATGTATGTAAATAGCTTGGCCTAACTGCCCAGTTTACTCTGTCTAGCGTGGATGGTTGGATAAGGTAAATCCTAACCTAACTAGTGTGCTAGCTTAATTTAACCTAGCTTTAGAAATCTCTGTAAATAATAACTAGGTTAAATCTGTCCTAGCTACTATAACCTTTTGTAAATATTGCACAAGCCTAGCCTAACTGTGGCTACCTTGCAAATCCACTGTAAGTAATTAACACACAAGTCTCCTACTCTGGATTACTTGTAATCACTGTAAATAATTAAATTCACAAGCTTCTCTAGCCTACCTGGCCTGCCTGTAAATTACTGCAAATAACAACTTCTGTGTATAGTCAGCTTGGCCTAGCCTCTGTGTAACTCTGGGCCTAGGTGTGCTAACTTAACCTAACTCTGCAAAACTGGTTCCTAACTGTGGCCTAGCTATGATAGCTTAACCTAGCTTTTCCACATCACGGTTTTCGAAGGACCACTTTTGTGAAAATTTGTGTGGACTGCCTCCAAGTGAGTCACCTACCCTGGCAAACTCTGTTGACACCGAGCTCTGAGGTGGGTACCTCAGCCTCACAAGTGGCTTATAGGACAGATTTTCACAAATGATTGATGTTGCAAGAAAACTCGCCTGCATGCACGTATAAAGGACTAACTTACTTGGTGTTGCAGCATATATCCTGATCTTCAACTTCCCTAGGCTTAGCCTTAGCCCCTTTGGACTTTCCCTCAGAAACCACGTGCAACCAGGAGCCTTAATTCCTGCAATATTCAATCGTTATTAGTGTCCTACCTGCACCTCAGAAATTCCTATATCCAAGAGGGTGTGTATCCCCTAGTATAACTATGCAGACATGGACATTAGCTTCCAGACTGCCTTGAGACATTGGTACTTACTGGGCATGCACTGCCTGTTGCACACCGGACCCACAGATCAAACTCACTCACAATCTCCCCAGACACTGGCCAGAAATCTACGAGATAAAGTGGAGGTCTTGTCTTACTGTATAGGCCTGACAGAGGAGGTCATCTATGGTACATCGAGGTGCCTCTACCAGATTTCCCCAGGTCTCAAATGTGAAGACACGTGGGGGGCACCGTCTGCTGATCACGGCATGTCTTGTCCAGTTGGTGTCTGTCTTAAGAAGGGAGAGCTCATGTCTTCCAGACCCGCGCCTCATCCTTCAAGCTAGGGCTGCCAGTTCTCCCTAGCTAACTTAACCTAGTGTTTGCCTACATTATTGGCCTATTACTACCTATGTTAAGGTCTTAGGTCTACATTATTATTATCTACAGTTGCCTTAGTAAACCTAATATTAGTGTACTACCAGTAAAACTACCTACTCCTTCCCTGAAGAGTAAATCTATAAATTAAATAAGCTTACCAACAATCCCCACCAACTCGAGAGAATGCTTTTATGTTTGGGTGGGGTATAAGGGCCATCCAGCTCAGCCGTTCCATCATGGCCATGCCGGATCTGTCCTGTGGAACTTTAGGGACCAAATAAATTTCCACAGTAATGAACTCCAGGTAGATCTGGTCACAATCATGGCAAGTTACAAAGGTAATGAAACACAAATAACCCGCACATAGAAGAGAGGAGCTTACAACGACGTTTCGGTCCGACTTGGACCATTTACAAAGTCACACTAACTAGAAGTAACGAACGAATGAACAAAAGTTCAGGTAAGATCCCAAATGGGATGAGCAGGGAAGAAAGGACAGACATAAAACATAAGAAAAAAGGGAAACATGAAAAAGGGTTTACGCCCTGGGGAGCAGGTCCATGTCCCCCCCGGTTTTAGATCAATGACACCCCCCTGGTTCCCCCATGACCCCCCCCTTTGATCATTTCATAAAGGATGGACACTGCACCAGACCCAGCAGCACAAG